TTTTTAACCATTTTGTATTTTGTTCTCGAGCAATCAGCTTTCCAACAACATAAGCAAAAATATTTTCTCCATTTACAGACCAAACCAGTTAGAAAAGGAAATATCATAGAGGACAAATGGAAGAATGGATCAACAACTATCTCTTGGAAGTAAAGAAATGCTGTCTTCCACTACCAAAATCTTTAACTACCTTTGGGAGTTTAGCTCATAATAGGTCTCAGATAAGGTAGACAACTAGCAATCATGGCCCTGTTGCCATGTTTACTATACCTTTGTCTCTGTATTTATTTAAAAAAAAAAAGTGGATTTTTAAGATGGTTCTCTTCTTGTTTTTCTTGCATGTCCACTTTGGGCATGGAAGGTTAAGGATTTCTTACAGGGCTTTTGTTAGCTTGGCTGAAAATTTGGTTTTTTTTTTTTAAATATATTTTGGGACATTTAGGTTTATTAAGTCAAATTCACACACATATCACATGCATAAGTTTTGAACTCAAGACCTCTTGGTTGATAGCCAAAGCTCCCAATCAATAAACCAAGAAGAGATGTGTAAATTGGATAAAAATTAAATGCTTGAAAGAAATTTTTCTATTATGTTTGATTTAAAAGTTATCTTACCGAATAACTAATTTCCTTCATATATCTGTTAAGACAAAACAACAAACTAGATAATTTTGAATGATTATTTTTGTATATTTTAAAATATTATCTTACAATAGTTGTAGATCAAGAACAAATGTTAAATTTCCCAATATATACTAATTGCCAGTTTTTTAATCTATTCTAGATCTAAAATATGTTTAACTATTTTCCATTTAAATAAAAAATATGGATAACAAACTAGCACATCTGATTCAGTTAAAAACTTGAATTTCCTTTTTTTCTAGCTCATAAAAATGTTTTGTTTGTTTTGTTATAATAGAGTTATCTTTTATCTCATTAGATTGATTGATATGCTAATACACGTTTGTTAATAGGATTATTCAAGCATTTTTGGCAGAGCAGCAGAAGATTGTGAAGAAGGTTCTGAAAATCCAAAAAGCTAAAGAAAAGCAGGTTGCAAAGAGTTAATATACTAATATTACATTACGACCATGAGCAAAAGCAAAGTGTTGTTTGAGTATATTTTACCTATGAAAATTTTAAATTCAACTATATTTTTTCTTTTGAATTAATGCATTCTGAATATACTATCATAAAGTTTATTTTGATTATGTTTGACGCTTTATGTTTAACAATCGCTTTGTTTAGTTTGACTATTGTAAATCTTTCAGTTACATTGTATCTCTCAAGCATTGCTTTGTCATTTCATATATTTAGTTCCTGCAAAATTGAAAGTAGGGCAGTTTGTACGTTTATGTGATTTGTAAGATAATCAAATTGAGTACAGAGAATACCTTTTTTATATTTGTTGATAACGTGCTTCCACCAGGAGATTTTTTTCTTCCTCTACAAAAAATCTTAAGTTTGCTTTAGCAGAAAGGTATCAATGTCTTATTGTGTTTTTTTTTTTAGGTTATATAATTTCAAATATATATATGAATAAAATAAAGTTAAAGATGGATTTCTTTGTCATATAAAATAAAGCGAATACATTTGGTCTCCTTACTTCCAACCTTCATTAGATAGATTCCAGTAAAATTTCAAAATTTATTTATGACGATTTCTTGTCTTGCCACAATTAATAAGTTGTACATTTTGATTTTTGTAAATAATTTAATTGAATTGTCTGTTTGAATGTTGATAAAATTGTGCTTGAGTTTCACAAATGGTTTCATTTTTTTATAGATAATTTTATTAATATAGCATGCCATGACTTAATTTTAAATTTTATTGTATTATTTTTATTTTTTAAATTTTTTATTTACGTGCATCATTGGCACGTATATTTATACTAGTATAATAAAGATGCTTACAAATTTTCTTCTACTCATGTAATAGTAAAATAATAAAATTATAAAATTATTTGAGAGGATAAGTAAATTGAAACTTCAACCCAAGTTATCACAAAAGCAAAGTTGGCATGAAGTGAATTCATCTAAGCCAATATATATTACTAAAATTTAGGCTTTGTTTGGGACGGATTTTTTTACTACTTATTAAAATAGCTTTTTAGTATAAAATTAAAATGTTTTACTAAAAATTGCTTTAGGAAACAGTAAGAAAGCCGTCCCAAACTAAACTTTAGTTAAGCTTCGTTTGGGACAATTTTTTTACTGGTTTGTGAAGTTGCTATGAAGAAAATAATTTTTTAAAGCTATTGTAAAAAGTAGCTTGCTAGTGCGAAAAAATTTCAAAAGCAGAAAAAAAAACAATGAATAAACGAAAATTATGGTGACAGTCTAAAAAGTGAAGCAGCTAGAAAGCTATCCAAAATGAAGCCTTAATTAAAGTTCACATTTGGAACTCGATTCTAACTACTTCAAGAACTTATTCTTGTCAAAAAGTAATTGGTTCTTAGTTCAATGTGTTTATTATATACCAATTATTTCAGATGAATTATGGGTCTTCCAATTAGTCCCCCTTTTGAATATTGCATTAGGTATTACATCTATTTTGGAAAAAAATATTTTTTACAGAAGTTCAAGCTCTTGAAATTATCCAAGATATAGAACTGTGTACTTTGGTTACAGTTTCTTTGTATGAAATCATTTTCATTCTTTAACATTTCTGCTTTGAGCTTATTAACTATAAGGCATTTACACACCTCATATTAGCCTGTTGGTTAAGTGCTTAGGCTACCAACTAAGAGGTTTTGAGTTTGAGTATTTGTGTATGCGATGTGCATGTGAGTTTACCTTAACTGGCCTAAATATATAAAAAAAAAAAAAAACTAAAACATTTTACTTTGAATGCTCTTGACATAAAACAAGGCTATATTTTGGGTCAAAAAATAGAACTTGTTTTAGGAGTTGTTTGGTTGGTTGAAAAAAAAAAAAAAAAAAAAAAAAAAAAAAAAAAAAAAAAAAAAAAAAAAAAAAAAAAAAACATTGCAAAATGAAACACAATGTGAAAAAATGCAATATATTTGAAATAATATGAGTCATTTGGATGATTCTAAGATAAATGCATGTGATTATTTTTTTTGTTTGAAGTAAAATAAATGAAGTGTAAAAACAACAATGATGGTGGCCGATGGCTAACGGTAGTAGTCGACAATGGTAATGGTGACGACAGATCGATTGTGGCTGCAATGGTTAAGATGATGATTGGCGGCTACACCTGGTGGTTTGCGGCGACAATGATATTGAATTTATAGTGTATTTGAAAATCCGCTAAATCTAATAATTTTCAAATACATTAAAATTGAACTAGAGGGTGAATTAAAAATAGTTTAAAATCTTTAATTATAACATTTTAATTATGTCATTTATCGTTTAAAGATTGTAACTGATAATTACTAATTGCTAACCATACTAGTCAGCACTATTAATGGAGGCAATAGATTGTGACTGCAATGGTGACGATGACGATTGGTGGCTATAACTGGCAATTTGTGCCGACAATGGTAGTGAATTTATAGTGTATTATAAAATCCGCTAAATCTAATAGTTTTCAAATACAATAAAATTGAACTAGCTAGAGTGTGAGTTCAAAATAGTATAAAATATTTTAATTATCTCATAACCACTTAAATATTGTAATTGATAATTAGTAACTAATAGTTACTCATTACTCACTTATTCATTTAATCACTAGTTATTAATTTAATTAATATTTGTAACATTATTTACATAATTAATTATTTCTATTTTAAATTATATTATTTTAACAATTATATTTATTTAACTACTAATTATTTAATTCAGCTAAACTATATTATTTAATTACATTACTAATTATACTACAAATTATTTAATTAATCTAATAAAAAATTAATATATTTTTTATTTTTTATTTATAATACTAATCAAATATTAATGTTTCTGATTTAGGATGGAGGCTGTCTAGAATTTGCTTTTCATCTTCTCCCTTCTTTTTTTTCTTGTGCAACTTTTCATTGTAGCTTCGGCCTTGCGTGCTTGGCATGAAGTAGTTTTGAAAGAGTCACTAAAAAAGTTTCATTGCCACCATTCAGAATGTCTGATCGAAAGTTAGGGCTGGAGCTTGGTTGTTGCAAAGGTAATCATTTTTCTCCCTCACAATCGCCACAACTATTTGCATGTTCGAAAATTTGGTAGTCCTTAAACCCCAAATTTTGCTGAATTATGAGATTTAGTAAATCAAGGATTTACGACAAAAAAAAAAAAAATTCTGGAATTATGCTGGGTGTGGATTTACAACGTACTTTTTTGCCTGTTTGGTAGGATTTAGTGTAAATTTGACATAAATCGAACTTAAGGGGCTGTTTGGCAAGTGAGATTTAGTAAATCTTGTAAATCCAGATTTAATAAATTTTGGGGTGTTAAATCGTGAAAACTGTTTGGTATGACAAACCTATTAAATCTTAAGAAACTGTTTGGTAATAATTTTAGGATTTTTAACAATTAGGAATTTAAATGTGAAGAAGATAAATATAAATAAAAAAAATAAATTTATAATTAAAAAAAAATTAACGTGTTATGAATTAATTAATTAATATTTTCAAAAAAAAGTTATGAATTAATAACATGTTAAGTACAAGTTACTCATTAATTATTATTTATATTATTAATTATATATTTAATAATTTATATTTTAAGTTATATTAATTAAGCTAATTATATTAATATTTAATTGCTAATTATTCAATTAAGTTAAATTAGATAATTAATTTATGCACTGATTATAATATTAATAATTTAATTAATTTACTTAATTATTATATTTTAAATTATATTAATTAACTTAATCAATAATAAGTTAGAGGCCTCTAGGTTTGTCTTTCATCTTCTCTTTTCGTCGATGCTGTTCGGCTTCGTTGCTTCGCAGGAGGTGCAGAGATTGCACGAGTCGCTTCTTCGGCTCCTTCGTGGCTGTTCGACTTCGCAACTTCGACGACTTTCCATTCCTGTCGGATCGGAAGTTACGACATTTTGACCGGAAGCAACAACGGGAGCTCGCAGGTTGTGAAGGTAACTTTCTCCCTTTCGCGCGTTTCTTCGGCCAAATCCCTTAAATCCGCCGAACCGAGGGATTTGGTAAATCCGAGATTTAATCCGTAAATCCTTTAAATCTGGGATTTACCCATCGCCGGGATTTAACGCGCACAAAAACCGTTTGGCTGGATTCAGCTTAAATCCGACTTAAATCCGATAACAGCCCCTAAAATTGACTAATAAACAACCACTTACGATTCCATTGTATTTAAAGTTGTTGTTTAATCTAATCCTCATAGGTAGGCGCGTAGGTTTTTTCCTTCGGTTCCATCGGACCGTTCGCGTGAGGTAGAGCTTTTCGGCTTCACTGGTTTGCCTGAGGTAAAACTTCGAACGACACTTTCCTTTAACTGTCTATGGTTTGCTTTTCCTCTTCTGCATTTATTTGTTGCTCTTCTACTTTGGGTGAAGTAGAGTTCTGAAAGAGTCGGAGCCGCGCTGGGAACTTTACTTCCTTGGTCTGATTTAGGAAATCCGTAAAAAAATAGGATTTATGAAATCCGGGATATAGGGTAAAAATGGCGAAAACGCCGGGAAATAGAGATTAGACTTAACTTGAGATTTAACTTTGTATTCTTGGCTGTATTTTTTTTTTTTTTGCGTTTAACAGGATTTACGTCTAAGCTCAAATCTTGCCGAAATCTGACCTGAATCCTGCAAGCATGCCCTTTAGTTGTTTGGCAACAAGTAGGATTTAACTTGAATAGGATTTAGTAAATCCTGCTTAAGTTAAGTTCTTAAAATTGTTTGGCAACATAATTGTTAAATCATGTGAATGTGAAGTTGTTTGTTAATGTAATATAAAATTTAAGATGATTTTTTTATAATATGAATTATATTTAAAATTCATTAGCTCTCATACTGATTAAAATTTAAATATTAAAATTTTGAATGCTGGAAAGTACCAAGATCAATATAGAACTGATATTACAAAGAAAAATTTGATGGACATGTGGAGTGCAGTAGAACACAATAAAAATCTAAAGCAACATTACTTTAACATCTAATAATAAGACAATGATGGTGTCCATCATTGGAAGTACAGATCTCAATCATGCTGATAGACGTCCTTGATTGAATGCCTGTAAGTTTGTACTCTCATCAGTAAATTCACTTCAAATTTCATAAAAAAGTCTTATTATACTTTAACCATAAAATTAAAGATGATTATTTGTTACTCAGGATCCACAATTGCTGGCATAGTTGGTTTACTAAGTACTAACAAGTTATCTCATCATTGGCAATAGGAAAATGCCTGATAGGCACTGTCAGTGGTGCGATTAGTCTGGGGATTAACGCTTGATAAACATATTAATATATCCTGTCATAACTCAAGCTTATCATGTTTATGCCAAGCCCAAAAATAATATTAAATTTCATGAACTGTTCCTGCAATCGAAACAGAACTTCACTTAACCCGTCGTCCCAAACAAACAAGATTACTTTGCATCTTAAGATTAATTAATCCTAGGAAACTGAAATCCATGCTCACAGAGAAGCCAAAGTGTTGATTATAGGAAAATCTATAATAGCAAGAACTACTGAACACTAAAATCAAGCTAATAAGGTTAAATCTTGACCAATTTGGAGAAACGTAACATCAATTAAGAGAAATTAATCAGAACTTTTTCAAAGATTAAACAATAAAAATAAAGGGATGGAGCAGACAGAAGATTGGAGTCTCAGATGCAGCCATTGAGGTGAGCATGCTTGGGAACAGAAAAGGAAAACATACCTAACATGGAGATTTCGTCGACGGATGGGCTTACAGGAGTCGAACTGCAAGAAGTATAGGTCGAACAATGACGCTAGATGCCGAAGTGTAGGCAAATCTATGGAGATGTGGTAATTGGACTAATTATCAGTGCCTTGAAATAGAAAGTACGAAGAAAGAGAGGGTAGCTTCGACAGGCGGAGATGGAGAAGATTGAGCTCACGTTATAAAGGAATGGCATAGCAGGAATCTTAATGCTCAAAGCCAGGTACACCAACTACTCCTCTGTCCGCACTCCCTCATGGTGAAATGTTAAGTCCATTGAACTGTAGGATTTAGTAAATCCGGGATTTACAGTAAAAATGACCAGATGGCGGATTTATTTTGCTGTAAGTTTGAATGTCAGTGTAAATCCTGTTTGGTAGGATTTAATATAAATCCTGCTCAAATCGGGCATAAATCCCGTTGCCAAACAAACCCTAAATGAAACATGAATAATTAGGTAGCATAAAAGGACTACTATGCAGCCATTATCTTCCCTCTAACTTCGGTTAGTTGTTGTACCTACATCATCAACGTTGTTCTCAAGTGACTCTGACGTTGGACAACTACAATGAAGAATTCTATTCTTAGTGTTTGAAACAACTTGAACGAATCTATCCAACAACTGGTTGCTCAATACATAGGTGGCCTAAAGAATGTTTAGACTGAATGAAAATTATGTAAGGAATGTTGCGAGAATACATTTGTTTAATATTAGATAGTGAATGTAGACTTTAACGGTTTGGACATGCATCATACAGGATAGAAATGCGCTCATAATATTGATAGATGAAATTATTGTCAAAGGTCATTCTAAATAATTAGCATAATTAAATTCTAACTGATCTCTTATTTATTACAATATTTTAAATGATAGTTTTTTTTAACAGTTGCATATGCTAATTTATATAATTAATTATTTATATCTATTTTTCTCGATTCAAAACTACTTAACTACATCAATGCTAGCCAATAGCTAGTTGATGTCTTCCATTGCAACTTTAAATTGATTGATTGATTTTGTTAAATCTATTGCCAATAGATAGAAAAATATCTGAAGGTGGTTTGGTTTTTGCTAGTTTGGGTTCTCTCTTAAGTCTTAATTGTTTTTAGCTACTTATTGGACTTTTTATTGCTGTTTGATATCTATTTGGTTTCTCAAATATGTTTTTCTGTGTGAAAAAATTCAATTATTGATTAAATTTTTATATGTAGTTCGTGATTAAAGAGAAGTGCCTTTTTATCAAAATTCACAACTTGGGTTGTAGCAGATGAATCCTCTGACATTGGTTAAGCGCATCCAGAAGATTAATTCCACTGAGGCAACGCTTGGGATATCAGAGGATGCCTCGTGGCATGCCAAGTACAAGGACTCAGCTTATGTATTCGTCGGTGGCATCCCATATGATCTCACGGAAGGGGATCTTCTTGCTATTTTTGCTCAGTAAGTCTTCCATTACCTTTTTCACTTAGTTTGCTAAGAATTGTGATATATATGATAAATCAATATATGCAAAACCCTAATTGTGTATGCATTCTAAATTCACCATCTTCATGGAATGATCAAAATTAACTTTTATTTTCAACACATTATCAATCAGTTATGATTAGATAATCATTCTCAAGCCCAAACTTGTTATCCAATTATGAGGTCTCCTTGAAAAATTAGTTTTGTAGATTTTCCATACAAATCAGTGAGAAGTGATCCACATCTACAACAATGCCCAATTATGAATCAATGGACCAATTTGAATAGTTCATGAACGGCACAATAAATATGATTAATCCATTTGGTATCTTCATAAATAAGGAATTGTGTGAGAGCTATAAAATAAGAATTTGATAAATTCATTGTTTTTGAAGTACCAAGCGCAATGCGGTGGACAATAATTTATTTTTGCTGCAATGCACAAAATGCAAAGCGAACTAACTCTTTCATTAATTAGAATGCTCATGACTTGTATATCTAAATATATTACTTTCATATAATATTGTTCTAATTAACCAAATTTAAACCACACCAAGTAGTTATTTTTAGCAAATATAATTGTATATTCAATAACTGTATTTTCCAATGATTTGAAAGCCATGAAGGAATTTAAGGTATAAAAAATTAAGTAATGAAATAATACTTAAAGATCAAGAATACTTCTAAGATTGAGAGATTTATAAAAAATTGAGAGGTAGAGGAAATATTAAGTCAGAGAGTTTAAGATAAAGAAACTGTGAAGTGTATGAAGGATATATCGAGAAACATTTTTGAGATAAAGCTTTTGAGTGAGAAGCTACTACCACTAGTAGCCTAAAGTGATGGGTGAAAGATGAGTGAAAGAATGTGCAGAGGAGTACAAAGAGAGAAGTAATGAGATTTAGCAAGAGAGAAAGAAGAACAAAGAAGCTGTGACTTAGTGCTTTGAGAAAACTAAGAAGGAGAAGCAAGTATTTATGGCCTAATTATTGTAGCTGATGCTAAACCAAACCTCTAAATTTGAACCATGATTTTGTAATGAAATAATACTTAATGATCAAGAATACTTCTAAGATTGCAAGATTTATAAGAAATTGAGAGGCGGAGGTAATATTAAATGAGAGAGTGAAGATAAAGGAACTGAGAAGTGTACGAAGGATATATCAAGAAGCATTTTCGAGAACCTTGTGAGTGAGAAGTTACTACCACTAGTAGCCTGAAGTGATGGGTGAAAGACGAGTGAAAGAACGTGTAGAGGAGTACAAAGAGAGAAGTAATGAGCTTTAGCAAGTGAGAAAGAAGAACAAACAAGTTGTGACCTAGTGCTATGAGAAAACTAAGGAGGAGAAGCAAGTATTTATGGCCTAATTATTGCAGTTGTTGCTAAGCTAAACCTGTAAATTTGAACCATGATTTTGTTCGAAGTTGAAGTTGAGCATGGAATGTTATAATGTGATATAATAAAATGATGTGACGAGCATGTGCTTCGCTGCTAGTTCACGCTTTGCATGTAGGTGTTCGCACGCCAACATGTCACTTCGCTTGGCCCCTACTGTATGATTTTAATCACACTGGATGAATTAAAAACTAATATCCATATGTATTATTTCCAAGCTATGCTCTCAATTACTTTCTTGTTTAAAACTATGTTATAGAGTATATGATTTTTATCAGTCAATTTATTCTTGATGAAGAAAGTTAATTTTTTGTTTAGTTCCACCTTAAAAATATAAAAAAAGATTGATAAATTCTATTGAGGCTGACTAATTGTAATCATTTATTAAATAAAGACACTAGTTATGAAAGTGATGGACCAGCTTATTTGATTGTGAGGGAATTAAGAAATTTCCTAATCAAGAAGCTGTTTAGAAATGGTCTTAATCAAAGGGAATTAATTACGAGATGTTTCGTAATTGAAGTGAGTAGATTTGGGGGCTGATTTGAAGGGGATTAATTATGAAATATTTTCTAATTTATTATGGCTGATTTGGAGGGGATTAATTGTGAAATATTTTCTAATTGAAGATGACATATTTTAGGGCTGATTTGATGGCTGTTTTGGGAGGGGAATAATTAAGGAAATATGTGAGAATTAGGGGGGGGGTCTCTTTGGGTATTTACTATTTATTATTTACTTTAAATAGGTGATTTTCCTAGGGTTAGGGATATGCATTGTTTGCTGAAATTAGATTGTTCTTAGTGTGTTTGGGCTCTAGCTGACAACTAGAGATTTGGGAGAGCCGGGTCTTCAATCGGTCTACCTCTCCAATTGAAGATCCACTTGTATCTTGTCTTTTCCTTCATAAAACTTTCAATAAAAAAGTGTTCATGTGTTTTATTTCGGGTTTTTTGTCATTGGTTTTCTGAAATTCCTGAAATCAGATTTCAGCCAAGGAGTTTCCTAAATTTCTGCAAGCATTTTCTAACAAAGTTGTATCAGAGTTGTTCGATATGGGCACCCATGGCTGGAAGAAAAGTAGAAGTATTGGAAGGGGAGATTGGACAATTGAAATAAGATTGTGTAGAAAAGATTTCAAATTTTTAAAAGCTATTTTTACCCATCCATGAGAAGATCGATGAGAAGTTTGCCATCATGGAAGAGATGATGAGAAAGATGCTCAAGTTCCAAATCAAAACAGTGTTTCCAGATGCAAGGGGAGCCACCGGTGACCAAGGGAGTGAAGAAAACCTTAATTAGATGAGGAGAGGGAAAGATCAGGAGGTAGAAATGTTGGGGGAAGAAGAGGGGATGCCACTTTTGGAGCTACTTCCAAGGAGCGGAAAGGGTGGAGTGGGACTTTTAGTGGAGCTGTAGAATTTGGAAGGGCTTAAGGATGGGGAGAAGTTAGAAGCACCAGACATGATTCTATCACCCCTACAACAGTATCGAGGGGTGTTCTAGCAAGTTCAAGGGTTAAATCCTTCGCTGAAAAATGAGTATGTTATCATCTTAAAGGAAGGAGTCTCACCTATCAGTGTTCGTTTATATCTTCATCTCCAAATCCAGAACGAAGAGATTGAGAGATAATTCAAGGAGATGCTCGAGGCAGGGATCGTTCGGCCTAATGTCAGTCCATTTTTCAATTCAGTGGTATTAATCAAGTGCTTAAGCAGCAGTTTTGTTCATTCCACCGTGAGGACAACGTGACACTTTGGAGGAGAGTATTGATGGACCAGTTGATTTGATTGTGAGGGAATTAAGAAGTTTCCTAATCATGAGGGAGCTATTTAGGAAGGTTCTTAACCAAAGAAAATTAATTAGGAGATGTTTCCTTATTGAAAAGAGTAGATTTAGAGGTTGATTAATTAAGAAATATTTGTAATTGAAGAGGCTAGATTTGTGGGCTGTCTTGGAGGTGATTAATTAACAAATATTTCCTAATTGAATAGGTCTGATTTGGGGGCTGATTTGGAGAGAATTAATTAGGAAATATTTTTTAATTGAAGATGAAATATATAGGGACTGATTTGACAGTTGTTTTGAGAGGAAAATAATTAAGGAAATGGAAGGGAATTGGGGAGGTCTGTTTGGGTATTTATTGATTATTGTTTATAAAAAGGACAGACGAGTTCCGCCGCAAGAACGAGACTCAACAAATCACATGGCTCTTGTAATCCAGACCATCCATCTGTAACAAACGGAACAAATCACAGCCACACACTTGTATACACAAAGCATTATAAATACACATGTACATCAGGCAATAAGGACAAGAGAGTAATGACATAGCAGCTACATTAATTCTACTGCAGCTTTTCCACCAAATACTTTTCTCCTTGCTCATTTCTTTATGGTATCAGAGCAGTAGATCTTAGTGAAGACAGATGATCCCAACGAGAGGTAAGATTCCTGAAAACGTCTCATGGCCCAATCGTCTCTTCTCAAATCGGCAATCCATCAATAGATCCACCAGCAGATTCCTGCAAAATCCCAACATCCTTGAAATTTGTCATTTCAAATATTAAAACCATAGTTCCCACCCAATTATCCAATGATAATTACCCCATATGGAGATCACAAGTAACCAAATTACTCAGATCAAATGGATTTGCTACTTTCATAGACCCAACAATTTCCCCACCACCCCGCCTCCAGCAAACATCAGATGGCTTGACCATCACAAACCCCCAAATACACATAATGGGTTATGATTGATTAGAACCTGGCAACAACCCTTTGTTCCACCATAACCCCAGCTATCCTCCCATATGTCCTTTACCTAGACTCCTCTATAGCCATCTGGACAATTGTTGAAAGACAATTACAACCGTCTAACAAGTCAAGAGTTATTCAACTCAAAAACGATCTACATAATGTCTCAATGAAGCAACACACCATGGCTGAATATTTAAACGAAATCAAGACCCTGGTAGACAAAATAGCAGCAATAGGTGTTACTATTGACAAAGAAGAAATAATACTCTACACACTAAATGGTTTACCACTAGCCTACCTGTCATTTAAAAGCACTTAACGCACCATGGTACAACCTCTCAGTCTAGATGATCTATATGCTTTTTTGATTAGTGAAGAAATCAATCTTCACGCTAAAGCAGCCATACATTATAATCCTTCAGACCAAAACACATCATTATACTCAACCAGAGGCAGAGGACGAAGAGGTAGAATCCGCTTCACTCAGCAAAATATTCGTCTCAACACTCAACCAGCACCACTGTGTCAAATTTGCAATAAGAAGGGACATTCAGCTACAACCTGCTGGCATCGATTCAACATAAATTACACCCCTCCACAAAAATTCAATACAACTCTTACTGTCACCAATGACAACCCCAATCCGGATTGGTATTTAGATTCTGGTGCAATATCTCACCTAATCAACGACATCAATAGTCTTACACTGGGTGACCCAATACCATACAATGGAACAAACAACATACTGATTGGAGATGGAAGCACACTACTCATAGCTCACTCTGGAGCTGAACTTCTACCAAGCTCTAACTGGAAGCTT